GCGAGCGTACGTGTCGCGCATCTGATACAGCCATAACAAATGACATCGTCGAACCCCGGCGTATAGTCGCCGGTTGACTATCTCTTCATCTCGCGGACGATGACGACGGGGCAAGTATTGTCGGATACGACGCTGCCGCGGGCCTCATCGGGCCCGGGACAACACTTGGCCAGTTAACTTGAAACCAGTCGGTATAAGAACTGTCGTGAGATCGTTCACATTAACAAACAGTCCGGTTGGTCAGTACTTTCACCACGGTTTAAGGGTGACTTAAGCGGCCCCTAGTTAGAAGACATGACGCCGGGTTATGAGCTCGACGCCAGAGCCTCTCGGGGAGGACTTTCGTTGTAACACGTGTTGCTAACCGGTTCCACCTTAATTGTCTTAAACGGGCACCATCATAATTCTGAGTTTATCTCTCGAGGCGGCAGTGCCGTTCTGACTTGACGTCGCGACGTCAGCTTGCCCGGCGACTCCTCGTGATCTAATAGCGATTTAAAAATTGATGAAGCAACCGCGTATCCCCTCTCCTCCTTAGAAATAATATTACGAAAAAAAAATAACGGAGTTTTATAATAATCGCGAAAGCTGAGCAAACTCAACGTCGTCGTTATTATCATCTTGCTAAAAGCAACACAAACCTCCATGCGAAATGAAATATGATCGTCTGTGATTTATAATACAAGTGTCGACTTTTGTGTGGGCCAACCACTTTCTCAAGATCTTCACCTCATAAATTACGCAACGATCTTTTTTTTTCTCTTTCGTTATTATAGATTCTGCATCCTCATCTGTTTGTTCGTAACTTGTGCGCCATTCTAGTTTGTCATTTTTGCAAAAAGGTCCAACTCAAACATCCTTAATACGAAGAAACTTTGTTTTGGCTGTATTTTAGAAGGTCCAGGCGCGGTAAAACACGATACTTGATAAGATACGAAGAGCCGAAAAATTCGAGACCCCGGGTCGTGTCCTGACGATCGTGAAGGAAGAGGGCCGGGACTGAAATTAGGTTTGCGAGGCACGTTTCTCCCCCCCGTACGGCGGTGCGGCGCGAAGAGAGCGCGGCTTTCGGTTCACCGTGCGACGTGGTGTCAGGACGTTAACCGTGAAGTATCCATCACTGCCTTACCAAGAAACCCACGACACGACGATGTTCCGACTTCGGTGGATCAGGTTAGATAAATGTAATAGTCTATAGTTCAGCTTGCTAACAAGACTAGCCTCCCCTAGATCGAAGATAAGGTCCAGCGAGCGATCCAGCTGACTCCGGGTCCGCTCATAATGAGGCATAGTGGAAGCCGATTGCCGATTAGGGCATTCTTCGGCGATATTTCATCAATCATCGGAATCGCCGCCGAATTCGTTATGCGGTTGTGCGAAATCTGCAATATTTACAACGATTTCATAAAGCAAGAAATCACAGCAATCGCTTCATACTATTTATCTAAATGTTGAGAGAGAGAGAGAGAGAGAGAGAGAGAGAGAGAAATAGTTTTCATATTTTTGCGTCAAAGTAACGCAAAGAAGCTCAATCTTTTGTCTTTCGATTTGAAAAAAAAGACGACGCACGTAAAGTTGATATTTATTATACAGTTCATTATATAATATAATTTTAACATCAAAATTTGATCTAGAAAGCAATGAGTTATTGATATCAACGACACGTTTTGAATAATTTGTCGCGCTAACTTGATAAATATCACAAACAAAATGACTGTATCAATCATTGCAAAATAATTTCCGCAGGACATAGACCGACACGACAGTAATTCACGTCTGAAGATACTCTGTTAACAAAAAAAAAAGGGCATAGCCCGAAAACAATTTTAATTTATTTCTAAAAATAATCTTTAAAACGCAAGCCACTCTCTTTCGATTAATAATACCGATAACATTATTACCAGTCGTCCATCGTGTATACAAAGTGTTCCAAACCATTCCTTAAACGAATTCGAGTGTCCTTAAACGGCAGATCATTGACCAATTTAGAGTTGATTTCTCTTTAACGAGAGATCGAGGGCAATTTTTAATTTCAGATATCTTCGTGACGAAACATGAAATTGAAATTGAAATTACTTAAACAAAAATTGAAATAATTAGCTAATATCATTCTGTTACACATCTGGTATTCCGAAATTAAATTCGCACAAGAAATATTTTTCATTGATAGTTATTTGAAAATTACGTCTTGACATTTTTATTTAAGAAACATCTATTTCAAATTAATTAATGCGGTGAAAAAAATACTCGGTGTGTATTTTATTCGCCTAGAGACCGGATTTCTCAGATAACAATCCATCTCTTTCATAATATAACAAAATGAGGCTCGCAAGATGCACCACTCTCTCTCTCTCTCTCTCTCTCTCTCTCTCTCTCTCTCCCCTCTCCTCCTTCTTTCTCTTTCTCCTCTCTCTTTCTTTTTTCCCACGTGTTGATTAAGTTAAAATTTATTATTAAACCATACCGATATGTATTCCCGCGCACAACTTTACGACGAGGAGGCTTTAATTTCTTGAGGAACGCACATTAATCATTTATCGGTGATTAACTCGTAAAGCCGCCGATAAAACCGAGAACAGTCCTCGATATTATACACAACGACCAGCGAAAAATCGACATCAAAACTTTTAAATGTTTCTCGTTATGAGAGCTGAGCACTATTCGTTTAAGCCTATTTTAATTAACGATCTACAATTCATGTTAAATTTCGATAAAATTCTATAATATTTATAATATTATATGTACATATAATACAAAAGACATTCGAAGAACTATTAAAATAAACATACATAAAAATAACGATAAATAAAATTATAGAGTTAATCGAATAAATATATGTAGATAATAGCATGAGAAAATTCTTTAAATCATGATTCGCTATTAATTTTGTGATATTATAAATATCCTTATATTTTGCACATCAGTAATTGTAATTTCATTCATATAGCTTGTTTTATTGCTTCTTATTTTATTAATATAAAATAATATTTATCGAGATGGCGTTAGCGTACGGAGAATTTTTTCACAAACTAATAAGTAATATACATTCAGGGTATTTAAAAAAAATTCATTCAGAAATCATTCATTTATATTGTAGATTAGTACACGCACGATAGTGAGTAAAAAAGCCTTAGTAAACATAGATCAAAAGTTTAACTGTTTCTGAGATGTAAACAATTTTGTATGTTAATAACTGACTTACTATCTCTTTTATATGTTGTATCCGACATAAAAAGAGAGAAATTGAGATAAGTAACACTGATGGCCTATTTGGAAGAATTACAGGTCCAATGAGGATATAATCATAATATCTTTCTCATAATATCCAATCAATCGGTGGTTGATTGATATCAATTTACTGATAAATTTCGTGAAATTTTTAATTATAAAGCGTATATGAAAATTGAATCAGAACATTCAAGACGCGATTTGTAAACTGAGGTAAATCTACGATACGTAGAAGCCAATAGTCAGTTATGATATTAACATACAAAATTGTTTATATCTTAAAAATGTATATATAGTTTTCGATCTGTATATTCATAAAGCTTTTTTTTATTCAATAACTGTACTATCTACCATAAATCCTGAATGGTTTTTTTAACATCCTGTATATAGTGTATTAAAAAATTATTAGAATTTTTATTTCAAGTATTACATGGTATGGAATATTATAATATTTTTATTACATATATTGGTATAATCCGAGTAGAAGGTACTAACAGGATTTATATCGATTAAAATTAATCTACATTGGCAAAAAAAATGAACAATAATTAATAATTATGGAACAAGATAAATGTCCATTGTTTGTGTCCATTGTATTTTTTGATGCACTTCGTCAAGAAAAACATCTCAATTGACTCCGAATACTCCAAATCACGCGAAGAAAAACAAATCACTAGTACCGATATAATCCACGCACAATTTTATTGTTTTTACTACACTTTATGTAAATAAATGTTTCTAATTCTTTTTAGGAAAGAATTTTTCCGGATCATTTTTAAAAAATAACAATCGCAAAGAAAAATTTTTTACGAGCAATTTGAATGTGATCGATTTATGATTCGCAACTACGGCATATTTCGCGACTGATGTTTATTTCTATAACCAATATATATTAATTTTCATCTCGATTTAATTTACTCTTCATCTTTTTCCAGTTTTAAGAATTGGAAAAAGATAATGAATAAGTTAAGAAAGAGATTATCTAGATAGGTACAGAAATGGATATAAGAATGCCCGTTGCTACCAATATAGATTAATTTTAATTTTGGTTCAGCTTACTTTTAATCTTTTTCCAGTCCTAAGAATTAGAAAAATATGAATAAGTTGAACCGAGATTAAAATTGATCTACATTAAAAACGGATCTCCTTCAATTTCGATTAACACTAATCCGAGGTTGACTCAATCATCATGATTGTCAACATAAAAACTAAACGCTACAGTTTATGAGTTTTTAATGCACATGCGTCGGTTTCCAACCAGGAATATGGCTGCCTTCAATAAATTGAAATTGCAGGTTAAGTTAGCTGGTTAGATTAACTGGATCTCCAACCCATAAAATATAATTAATCAAATTAAGTTTTACTAAAAAATTAAATTAAATTTTTTTGGAGGCGCTATATAGTGTAGACTGTTATATTTGTATAAAGTATTTTCGTAATAAAGTATGCATTTGTGTACGTATATTATTAAATTACAACTTTACATTAATTACAATTTTTATTTAATATATTATTTTTTCATACATAATTGTTCAATTATAATTTTCATATAGTATTTAATCGATTATTATTTTTAATTTACTTATTACTGTTTAATATTATTATTATTAATGTGAATATTATCTTTATATAATGAGTTCGTTAACATTATATTATTACATACAGTTCGTTACATTATATTATTATATAATTCTGATTTAAAAATATACTATAAATAATTTTTATAACACGACCGAATTATGTCTTTTTTTTTCAGAAAAATCATTCTGTAACTTTATAAAAACTCAAATTTATAAGCGCCTTTCCAATTTACAACACGGCGGGTCATGTGACCTGGGACCCATTACATCAAAGGTGCTCAGTGTCTATATATACTAAGTCCACTGAAGTCTGCCGGTCAAAAGTTATACCAACTGCTTATGATGCAAATAGACTATTCATGATAATCATGATACTAATATTGCCAACTATGATCTCGAAATATCGAAGAGTTTAGAGTCACGTGATACGATACTATCGCAACTGTTCATTCTTGTCGCAGTGATGCCATCTGAAAATCTGAAATACAATATGTCCACATGTGGTTACACCACCTAACCTCATAAAACTTGTCAAACCAAAATAAATTTAATAATTCGAAAACAAATACGAAATTTTTATTTATACATATATTTCTCGGATTTCTAGATTTTTGTATGTTATTGATACAACAATTTTACACAAGAAATTAATGTTTTTCATAGATAAATTAGAGATTACTGATATACGAAAGGAATACAGAAATAATGTCTGAACAGGAAGAACTTGTCATCTGCGTGCCTGGTAATTATTTATTGATTTTTAGCGATGTCGATTTGCTTCGCATTAAATTAATTTTGCAATATTTTTTCAAGGCCAAAGGTTATGTGTAGCCGATAAGAGTAATGTAGCTGGTGCAGGGACATACGAGCAGCAAGGTTACATCTATTCGAAACTCGCTGGCATTGTAAAATTAGTGACAGACGACAAAGTAAAAATCTTCTGTTTGTATTTAATTCTTCTGAGCTGACTTCAAAACTTAATAATTACACTGGATCTATGAGACCTATTTAATTTATATTGACTAAAAGATACTAATTAATTTCAAGGAATCAAAATGAGACTTCATATAAAAAAAGAATTAGTACTAAATTTGTTTCAATAGCAATAATTTAAATTTGCAGATTTAACATTGTGGGTATTCATTCTTATTTTAAATCCATTTTTATTTTAAGATCCATTCTTGTATTAAGTAATGTCTTAAGATTTTATTAATGCAGCCTTCTGATAGGTTTATGGATGGTATTCATAGTTCGTTTTTATTTTAAGATTGTCTTAAGTAATATTTTAAGATACTAATACAGTCTTCCGATTGGTTCATGACTTCTTAAGACTGTACTTAAGACAGTATTGAATATAAGATCTGACTATGAATGACATTTTAAGACTATACTTAAGACAGTCTCAAATATAAGAACTGATTATAAATACTGGCCGAAGAATATAATTGAATAAGACCAAACCTACTGTTAAATCCAAAAGAATATAATTGAATAGGTCCAATAGACACATGTTATCTCTGGAGAGTTAATATTAGAATAGATATCTCTACCTTAATTTTTTATTTTCTGATTAACTTATGATACTTAACCAAATAATATAAAAATTCTATTTTTTTAATTATGGGTAATCACTGAATTGATGGTTTTGTAATGAGTAACTTTTAATATCACTCCATGAAATTATCAGTTTAGTAATTAATTATAATTAGAAAAACACAATTTTTATATCAAATTAAGCACTATTAAATTTAAATCATACATTAATCAGATAATGAAAAATCAGGCCTAAATCTTACATTATTATAGACTCGTACAGTGGAAGTACACAGTATAACGGAACAAAGCATCGTTCCTGCACCAGGAGACATTGTGACGGCCATAGTCACTGTAGTGAATCAAAGATTTTGTAAATGCAGTATCAAGTGCGTAGGTGACATAATCTTGACGAGACCTTACAGAGGAATATTAAGAAAGGAGGATGTTCGAGCAATTGACAAAGACAAACTAGAGATGTACAAGTGCTATCGACCTGGAGATATTATTCTCGCGAGAGTTGTATCCTTTGGCTTCATTCTAAAACTAAACATTTCAAGGATTAAATCTATAATTTTTCTTATACCTCCTAATAGATGCCAATGACAGAAATACATACTTATCAATTGAGCACCGCAGAAAATGAGCTAGGAGTAGTTATAGCTCACAGTGACGAAGGTAAAGAATCAGTATATATTTTCTTTGTTGGTTTATTTTAACTTGTTATCTTACAGGTGTAGTTATGGTACCAATCAGTTGGACACAAATGCAATGTCCAAAATCTTTAAGTAAGGAATTCCGTAAAGTTGCTAAAGTTGTACCAGAACACATCGCGGCAGAACAAATTGAATAATAAATTACGAGTAATCAACTTTTCGATTGTACAATATATTTTAGATATTTAGATAATTATAAATTTTTATGTATAAAAGAATTTATATAAGTGAACATAATTTTTATATATTAAAGATCAATAATTTGGAGCAACAAGTAAAAACGTTCTCAAATATTTAAATTGAAATCCTTTTATTTATTTTTTTTTTATTTGATTCATCAACATTTGATTCATACACAGCCATAAAGTCTAATTTTCATTGCTATTAATATGATCCTGGTGAAATTCTTTGTCTTATAATTTTTCAGAACTTTTATGTAAAGCACTATCACAAATTGATATAAATGTTCTATCTAGAGCTAACAAATATAAATTAAAAAACAATTTTATTGAAAAATATTTTTATAACAATTTTAATATTTTATTTAGTCCTCTTTTGATTTTTATTGCCTTTTTTTATTGACTTTTTTTCCAGAAAACTCAATAAATTGCTTTATACTTGTTACGGATAAATATATTAAAAATTTTTTTATATATATCTTTTCTCCCCACCTCTTCTGTTGATTGACATTCTATGATAGTGGGTGGCAGCACTGTCAGTATTTTAATGTAAATATTTATTGTATCGATGAATGCCTGTTTAGTGTTTCGTTCGAACATTTTACATTACATTGATAAAGTAGCGACACAAATAAGCAAAAATGACAGAAACGTCATTTTTTAAACCGTCAGATACTGAATCGCTGAATTATACTCAGGGTAAGCACTCATTGCAATTTATGAGGTTATGTATTCGACTTATATATGTGCTATGTGTATATACAATAGAAATATACAGATAAAAAAGTTTAGTTATAATATTCTATACTGTAATTGTTCGAAACTCATTAGCGCAAATGGCAAATTAATGCCAAATAAATATGACATTGATAATTTAATGCCAAATAAATATGGCAGCCTATGAGTTCAATATTATTAAATTGCTTATTAATTTCATTTGTGATACTCCTATTAGGATTGCGTTTCAAAACTGAAAATTAAATCCAATGTGCAGTTTACAAAATTGAATATGATATAAGTTCACATCGAATTATTTAAGTGCCAAAGATCCAACTTGATCATTCAAGGCTTTCATTTCCTAATTGTTGTGTATTCATATTATAATTTTAAAAGATATTTTGATAAATTTAACATTATTGGCTAATTTTATCTATTGCATTGTTGTTAATATAATATTTGCATAACCTGGTGAAATTTTTTTTTAAATTTATATAATTTTTCAGAATTTTTTAGAATTTCTGTAATTCAATAAGTTTTTAAAAATTTTCAAATCTTTTGTACAAATTAGAACATTTTTCAGAAATTCTGCTTATCATTTTGCTAAAAGTTCATCTTTTTTAGAATTTTTCAGAAATATGAATTCTGAAATATATTATAAGATTTCTAAGATATAACATTCTATAATTTCTAAAGATTTATAAAAATCTGAAATTATTTAAAATATTTTTCCAGAAATTTTCATAAATTTAAAGATATGATAAATTCTTAAAAATCATATGAGATATTATGAAAATTTTTTTCTTCAAAATATTGACAAATAATTTCATATTAAATGCAGTTATTAAGTAAGATTAATCATGCTTTATACAAAATAAATGTTAAACGAAGTTTTGAATGGTTTGTATAGAAATTCGGCAGATGATGCATGGATTTGGTGATAGCAGCGAACCATTGTTCGAATCTGCAAAGATTATAGAGGATGTCGTGCTACAACAAATGAAAATAATTGTCAGAAGGGCTTGTGAAATAGCAGATAGACGAGCTAGTTCGAAAAAAAGTAATATTATTAATGGAGAAGATCTTCTCTTTTTATTGCGTAAAGATAAGATCAGGCTTCAACGCATTGTGAAATATCTTGGTAAGTAAACAGCAAAATTTTTGAATTATAAGGTCTATTTTTTATTACTGCATTAAAAACTTTCAATTTCACTTTCGCCAAATTTTAAATATACCGAATGTATCTGAAATAACTCCCACTAATCATACAATGCTATTCCTAATAAAAAACTGAGTCGGAAAGTCCTCTACTATTTTGTAATTTTTATAATAATTAAGAAGATATTAATTTCGAAAGATTACCGAATAAAATCGATGTATATTACAATTTTAAGATATTCTTTAGTATTCTTTATGAAATATCTTGAAGATATTTCTTAAAGAACTCTTAAAGTTATACGTCGATTAAAGTTATACGTTCTTATACGTCGATTTTAGACATTGACTCATTGAGTGATTAAAGAAAAATATTGCAAAATAGTAGAGGACTTTTTTACTCAGTTTTTTATTAGGAATACTGTATGATTAATGAACGTTATTTCAGATACACCCTGTATATATCTATTTCATTTTAAGTACAAGTGTACTTTATATATATATATATTTCTTTTTAAAAATACAAGTGTAGTGTTAGTTCAGCCATAAGAATAGACTTATGTATATACCATTATTCCTTACTTAGAATCAAATTTTTCGTTTTTCAGAACTCAAAGAATTAGGATGCTCGGTTCAAAAACTTATGACGGCGAACGATGTGCCGCAAAATGTCACAGATCCTGAACAACTGGATAGTGCCAAGAAAAAAGTGCCGTTTCAAAGTTTTTTAGAACAGATTGACAACACAGGTGAACTTCTGGAAAATTCATCCTCGGTAGACGATGTCAAACGACGTAGATGCATTCGTGCAGACATCGCGTCGAAGTCCATGGACGAGGTGCATTACATGAAATTCAGCAAGGCGCGTCGTGTGTCCTTTGCGAACAAAAATCGTCACAAATTCAGCGATTGGATTTGCGCAGATGGTACTATCTACTCTCGATTAGAATAAAAAATGTATATAACCTACATCATTATTTTAAATACTGTATTTATTTAATTATAGGTGATGTTACTGTATCAAAGCAAGCATACACAATCTTATCTTACCTTGCATATGAAACAGTTGCTCAAATTGTTGATCTCGCATTCCTAGTCCGGCAAGATCAGAGTAAAATGCACGGCGATGCCATAGATCGGCAACGACTCAATTACATTAATCCATTTACATTTAAGCCGCGCTATCACAGCAAGGTACATATTATAATTGTTAAAAAAAATCGAACTAACATAGAATAACATAATATAATAATGTATATTGTTTTCTATAGAATTTCGTAATGAAACCGTTAACTCCCTCGGAGATAACTGAAGCCCTGAGAAGGTACTGGTCTCCACAGTTAGATATGACAGGTCCATTTAATAGATGGTCTATGAGAAGACCACACTTGAAACTCCTTTCATGTTAAATGTAAAGATTTGAAAAAGGTAAGAAGCTCAATATAACTTAACATGTGCAACGCTAAAATTGACTCGTATTTATTGACATTTTCTTGATCTCTTGTACATATTTTATTTTTCTAAATTCTGACTTTACACAAGATCATATTGTTCTTTTTTATCGCTTTCTTTTTATTATATTATAAAAACGAGTAAAATTATCATATGCAATAATAATTATACAGATATTTATGATTTTCCTTAAAATAATTACAATTCTCTGTACAATTTGTATTTGGTATGTATATTATAGTCCCTGATTGCTTTTTAAATGATAAAAGACTGTTATTATATTATTACTTGAGATTACTGCCAGAGTGATACATTGTACTTTTCATAAAATATTCGAATCTTTTCTTTACACAAATTACCCACGCTTTGGCGATACAATGTAATACCTTAAAACCTAATGTGATGTACTTATTCTACATCACATACTCGTATATTCTATCTAATCACTTGCGAGTTTAACACAGTGAATAAAATATTATCTACAAGATCTTTAATTAATATCAGTAATTGCCTATTTGTTTTATGAATTTACACAAATGCTAATTTTATTTCTATATCATGGTGAAAGTAGTGTTGATACTCGTGCTTTCCCTTCTGCACCCCCGGTTATACAAGTTCCAGATTGATTGGCAGTCGACCAGTCGCAGCATAGAGTACCTTTGTGTCCGCCTAATTCTAAAATCTTTCCTTGCGCGCCTGGTGGCATCTGATGAAACAGGAAGGTCGGTTTAATATATAATATTTAAAAAATAATACAGAATAATATACCAGAATATAGAAAAATATAACAGAATAAGTTTTTAAATATTATATAATCAACTGATATTAAACATGTATGCATATAAAATACCTTGTATATATTTCCTCCAGTTTGTGTGCAGAGTAACATATAATTGCCAGTCTGATCAAAAGTAAATAATTTTCCATGAACGGGGTTCTTCTCGATTTTAATTTTGGTCTCCCACAAGATCTTCCCAAAGTGATTCAAGCTCCTTTGACATAGTTTACCGTCCTCACTTTGCGCACATATATTTGTAAAATCATTAATTAATTCTATGTCAATTATTGGGCTAGAGTGGCAGTTGAGATTGTCTATTATCTCGTTTCGCCTCAGATCATGTATGAGTATATTGCCATTGGACAATCCCGTGATAAGTAATTGGCCATTATGATTAAAAGCGGAACATAAAGCAGTAACGTTCTGCTCTAGCGGCAATGTTCTTTCGAGCTTCTTTGTTTTTATATCGTATAATAATAATTTACCCTCATTGCCATCCGATACAGAGCAAACAAAGGTAGATTCCGTCGGATTGCAGATTAAAGTAACAATCCGCGAATTCTCGTGCTGGATCTCCCAGAGCGTTTTACAGTCTCGTGTGTCATGCAATTGGATTAAACCATTATTGTCGCCATGCAGAAAATAACGTTCATTTTTCGATATCCAATCCAGCGAGGTGATTGCTTTGTTAAAATTTGCCGTAGAGGAAGAGAACGTAGTAACAGTCCTAATACAAATAGATAATAATATAGATAGTAAGAATTACATATTAATGTTACATTGATAGACAAAGTCATATGTATAAACAAATTTCTTACTTTGGTGAAGGAATCGGCGTCCATACTTTAATGACACCATCGGCGTCGCCCGTTGCGACATACGATCCACTCGCATTACTTTTGCATTGAATTATAGAGGTTTTGTGTTCTGTATACTCTTCCTGTAAACGTCATGCATATTGCATAAACATAATTAATATAATAGTAGAAATAGTAAAAATTTCCTGAGATTAATAATGTTCTTTAACCTGACTTAAAAGAATATAACTGGAGTCTATTTTTTCCTTAGTTTTTCTTTCGATAGCAGTGTCTATAGAAGAGTCTCTTTTCCTAGAACTATTTAATCTTGAATCACAGCTGATGCTCCTCTTAGCGACCGCCTCGGACTTACTGATCGAATTCACCCGTCCTTTCGTATTCGTCCGTTTAGTCGAGACCATCTCAGATTCCGCATTTTTTTTTACGTTTGTTGCAGGCTTTCTACTTAGAATTGGACTGGATCCACCGCCAATATTTCTTATGAGATTCCTCAGTGTCTTTGGATTTTCCAGTAATGGCGACTCTCTATTTATAAATATCATTAATTATATTTATATTATAGAACTTGTTTTATGAAATATAACGAACATACTGAGCAATAATGTAAAAATCATCCATAAGGGGGGGTTGTTGAGGTGCCGGACCTGGATTCACATCCCATACACTTTCTATTTTAACAGAATCACTCAACCGTTGCCTCAATGTTTCATTCTCCTCTTGCAATCGTTTGAATTTATTTGTGTCTTCATCAATTGTGAGTAATGTTGGCTGGGGCATACACTAAGATAACAGATTAAATTTTTCATCATTTGTATCGTATTTCATATAGCATATCTTTTATTTTATTTTGTTACAACACGAAAGTTGTCTGTTTTCTGTAGCTGAACTGGTACACTTTTGAAATTTAAAGTGAAATAGATTTATATTTGATATTTGGCAAAAGGGAAAAAGAAAAACCTAGTGCAGTCTAGTGCACAAATAAAAAAACAAACCTATTATGTAGTTAAATGCGTTAAAAATTCCTTATAGGCATATTCAATTGGATAATGCACTTCTTCTGTTTTCTTTTATTTAAATCTGTCTTTTATTACTTATGTGAAGAAACTGATTTTACCTTTGTAATGTGATGGAAGTGCTTTTTTTACTTACTTGAAAAATTGTTGCTAAAAAATTATGTAAGGATACCAACATAGTATCGTGCCACTGCTTACTAAAATGGACTGAGTAAATTGGATTGTCTTCAGGATTTTTGATAAAGGGGAAAGCTGCAATATCACAAAGCATACAAGTTAATCTTCTAAGTCTGAAGTATTATAAATCCATAAATGAATATCAGAGGCATACCAAACCATTCCTTCCATTCTGAATGACCATGTAACTCTGGTGTCATTTTGGTGAAAAATTCTTGTATTTTGTCTTGCTTGCCATTCACAGCTGCGTTCACCAAGTACATCTTTAGTACAGAATTCTCCAACTTTCTAATCGCAGGCGTAAAATGGCTTTCCAATCGGCAAAACATTCTAGTATCAAAATGTCCCCATAATTCTCTCAGCGACGTCAGATCATATGTATATATGTATTGCATTAATTGATCGATTATTTTATCTACCTGCTCAATCAAACATTGTCGAATATTAAACTATCTTTCTGATATCGATATAGAATTTTTTTATTAATACTATCTGTTCATAAACAAATATTTCAGTACATATGTAACACTTTGAACAAAGAACATGATAAATATATAACAGCAGAATAAAACATATAGATAAAAATAAACAGTCGCACAATTATTCCGAACGCATTTATCTCGTTTTTGTTATAAGGCATATTCTTATTTGGTTGGATGCTTTGTTATTTTGCTGTAATCATTCTCACCCTAAATCCCTTTTCCTTTTCTGCTTTCAGATCGTTATCAAAGGCCTTTAAGGTCTGACTAAAACCCCTGAAGAGCAAGTACTCCTTTACCAATTCATCCACATATTGCACGTGAGACATTTTCCCTCCAATTTCTTTGAAATGTTATTTGTTCGATACAGCTTGACAGCTGTATACTGTCATCCTTCAGCCATCTTGGTTCTCCACACACTGAACTACTACACCATACTACACTGAACTGGACGCACAATAAACATGAAACACTTCGCTTGGATGTAGGATTGCCAACAAAAAGTCTTACAATAGAAAGGTATGTGAGAGTTTATATCGACTAATTTTTCGATCCATCGAACAATCGAAAGCATCTATTTAAAAAGAAATTATGTTTATAGAGAAATTATTGTAAAAAAAGTACAAAACATTTTAATATTATTTCATATTAAAAATTAAAATATTTTAATTAAAATTAGGAAAGAAAGAAATTAATTATTTTTAAGATACATGAAGTACTTTGTCGGTAAAAAAAGAAGTTTGATTAAAAAACAAGAATAAAATGTCATAAAATTATAAGATGCATTTGGAGAAAAATGAACTATAATTTTATGAAAATATAAAGTATGATATTATTTGAAAAAGAAAAACAAAATATAAAATGAGGCTCGAAAGAATCTATCAGTGAAAAATATACAAAAGCTCAAGAGACTACATTAGCTATTCAGATGCACAGAAAACTCTTTATTTTCGTGTGAATGTAACAAAATGAATAAAATAAACGTTTCGTCCTTGCAATTCGGGTTTTTATCAACATAAAATATAAATCAAAATGACATAAGTAACGCAAATTCCAAGATGGTGATACAATGTAGCTCGTTTTCTTTATCCAAATGCTAAATTAGCTGTAATGTATGGATAGCCAAATGATTATCAAAAATATTAACTTATACAATAATAATATAAAAATTTACATAAAGTAAAACCGAAGTCATATACATTGCGTCAATAAGTAGAATCACATCACTCATCAGATTATCAGATTTGTTATGTAGCCATTCAAAAGAAACACGAGAAACAAAAAAATTAGAGAATTATTAAAATCATTTGTCTGAATTTTAATTTTATTAACTTATTTTTACTAACTTTTATTCATTTTGTTACATTTACACGAAAATGAAGAGTTTTTTGTGCATCCGAACAGCTGATGTAGACTCTGACGGCTTTTTTTATATTTTTCATTGAAAAAGAAAACTTTGCTAAAAATGAAAAGAAAGAATTAAACGTCATAAAAATTATAAAATTATTATATTTAAAATAACATTACTTATTTTTAAAAAATATACAGCATCTGTTCTGAAAAAGTTTAATTAGAAACAAAAGAAAAAAATATCATAAAAATTATATTGTATATATTTGACAAGAAATTAATTAATTTAAAAAAGTATTATCTTTAGAAAAAGAAGCTTGACTAAATACAAACAAAATAAAGAAATGCCATAAAGATGATGAATTAAATAAACTATAAAAAAATTTTTTAATACTAAGGACAAACAACTGAGAGCATCATTGTTAATAACTTAAACAAGTTTAATAATATTTTTTAGTATATTTACTCTGTGAAACTGTATTATCCTTCTTTTATTCTCAATATTTTTGATTGAACGTTTTAACTTTCGGCTATTTTCAACAAATTAACTAATTAGATAAAATTATCAGAGCACTTTTGATAAACTTAAGTGATTATGCAAGTGATTATGTTGTGAATGTCCTATCTCGATAGTTATATGATTGTTAAGATCAATTCAGCCAAGAGTGCATTAACATTCAATATCAATATAAGTGAGAAATAATCCAAATTCTAATAGATAGTCATTAGACAATCAGTCAAGATATGCAAAATAAAGATGATGAATTAATATTATATTTAAAGAGAAATAAATTATTTAAGAAAGCATGATATTATATTATTATAGAAAAAGTTTGATTAAAAACAAGAAATATAATAAAAATAACAAACGCCAAATTATGGATTTTTATATAATAGAAAATAAATGCGAATTAGTCTATTTGTTTTAAACATTTATTTTGTTTAATCTTGTTCGTCCCCCAAAGACAACAATTACGTAGATGCTCTTTGTACCAAGGATTCGAATCAGAATACATATATATGCATTAGATTGTATTTGATTATTATCTCTTGAAAGACAATCACAATCGCAAATTAGAAAATTACCGAGAATATCTTTGACATAAAAGCCCTTTTCAATTGAATCGTTTGAAACTAATATTAAAAACTAGATTTTCCATATATAAGTAGATATATGCAAAGAGGTCAGCACGTCTCTGACAAGATAGACTTGAGAAGGAAATATTTATTTGTACATAAATTCGATGAATAATTACAATAATATTAATATCTTATTACAGCGATTTATACATTTAGCTCATTACATGGATTTAATTTTCAACGAGTTGTAAAATGACAAAAACGCTATACATTCATCACATCACTTTTTCGCTTGTTTTCAAGAAAAATAATATTCCTGCCGAGTAGGCATTATTATATATATTTTAATTGTAAATTGAACTGTATCACACACAAGAATCTTTGGCATATAATTATTGTAAGGTCCAGTTTCACAACTCACGGTTAATTCTTAATTCGAACTTATTCATTATCTCTTTTCAAGAATTGGAAAGAGATGAGAAACAAGTTGAACCTCGGTTAAAAATTAACTGTGAGTTGTGAAACTAGACCTAAAAGTTTAACAAATGATCTCAACTTCGAAAAGGCACGAGTGTTTTTTGTCTTCATCAGCGAAAATCGAAATTTTCCCGACATACTTTGAGTTCTTTATAAATACAATTACATCCTGCAACGATACACTCGCAGCAATTACGAAAAAAAGAGATTTAATAAATAATTAAAAAAATTTTTTGAATTTTCAATCTTGAAATTTTAGATTCAAAAAGAGAGCTTTAAATTTTTTGCAGATATTAATTTGAAAATTAGTTATTGGAATTGTATGTATATGCAGCAAGTTTCCGTTATTTTTTAACATAAATTTTTTAATTTATTTATTTCTTACTTATTTTTCTAAAAGTAGGTGAGATATCATACTGAAAGAATCAGCAATTATCACATAAAATGTGTAAATTAAACATGCTTTTTATACGAGGAGGATAATAACTTTCTGTCACATCCTCTCACAGTCCTAACGAGAGGATTGTCAAAATTGTAATTTATCGCAAAATAGTTTATCGTAAATAAACGATTAAAACTTAGGATTAAAACATAGATCAATGAAGTAAATCGTCTTACAAATTCCGCACAGAAAAAGACTCGGAAGGAGAAATCGCAAAATCACGCGATAAAATCTATAGAATATACAAAATACAATTTTTCCTTATATTTATTGTCAATAGACACTACGAAAAATAAATCGCGAGTTGCATTGTTACCCGCGAACATTTGGCAAAAACGACTGCAGAGTAGCGACAGTTTTTTTGTTTTCGATGTGTATTACTTTGACAAAAATAGATCATCTTAATTCATCATATTCATAATTATCTACACATTATCTGGAGACATCACTGTAACAGGCATTGACCGTAGATTGGGAAATTGCACTAATTCGCC